AGTCGGCGAGCTGGTCGGGGGTGGCGGCGACGCCCTGGTCGGCGGGAGCTGCTCCAAAACAAACGGGTTTGTTGTTGTTTTTGGTGTCGATTAGTTTTGGTGTGCAGTTCGGGGATGGGCGGGTCGCGTGAGGAAAGAAAGAGAGAGAAGAAAAGAAAAAAAATAGGAGGAGTACGGAGGAAAAAGGAGTACGTACGAGCGCCGCGGCCAAAGCCGCCGAAGCCGGCAAAGTTGCGGTGGTGCCCCCAGCCGCTGACGCCGGCAAATTGTGGCGGGCGGTGGCCGCCCATTGGCGCGCCCCCTTTTGGTGTGCAGGTAGTTGTTTTTTTTTTTGTTTTTTGTGTGCGTGGGTTATGTGTTGGTTTTAGGTTTTTGACCAAAGGGTGGGAAAAGAAGACCAGCGAGGCAGGAGCGGACGACTTACATCCTAGATGAGGATACAAAGTTGGGTGGAGTGGGTTTGGGATGATGGTTGTGGCGGTGGTAGCAGTTGAACGTTGTTAGCAACAGGGTTACGAGTTTCGAAGTTTTGGCGCAGAAAGCAGCCCAAGCCCTCGGGCCTGCTACCCGCTCTTCTTGCGCAGCTTCTGTTTCCACACACCCTCCGAAAAGAGCGGGGCGTGCGCGCTCTCCTCCGTCAACCTTGCGTTCTGTCGTCGCTTTCCAGGAAGCTCCCTTCCGCCCTCTCTTTTTTATGGCCTGCAAATGCACGACTACCACCGCTCCGCCGCCCCAAAAAAGAAAAGCTTACTCACCGTACCACCGCCGCCAGAGCGACGCGACCAGACCGGTCTGTGAATCGGCGGGGACTGCGGGGATGGGCGCTGCGGCTGCGGACGAAGCCAGGACGGCGGCGGTGGAGAGGACGACGGCGAGGACGTGCATTGTTTTTTTTTGGGCGAGGCTGTGTCGTGTGTGTGCTGTGTGAGCGTGTGCTGCGAGGGTGTGTGTAGTGGAGCGAGGGTGCGGGTTGCGGGCTGCCTGGGTGGGGCGAAGAGGGAAGAATTTGTTTTTCGGTTTGCAGCGGAACGGAGGGGATGGGATTAATAAGATGGCGGTGTGTATAGTGTAAGAGTGAGGGAGAGACAGCTGGGCCGTGGGCTGAGCCAAGGCTGCGCCGCAGGAATAACGGCGACTTGGCTACTGTGTTGACAGATGTGTCTCTCTTTTCCCTCTCTCTCTCTGTCTCTCTCTCTCTCGCTCTCTCTGGCCCCCATAACGGCTGAGCCATTCATTACTGGTCGGGCGGAGACACAACGGCCTGGCACCAAGAAAAATATATAAAAATGCAAAAAAAAGCTCCCCAAAATAGGAAACAACCAACTGCGTTTATCATTTTTTCTGGCGCTTGTTGCGCCGCCACAGTCGAATCCGCAGTCCCGCCCGACGCCGAACGGCAAATCTGTTTTTCTAATTGCTATTAGGGTTAGTTAATTTTTTAATCAATGATTTGTCACTCTCTGTCACTCACCTATCACTCACCTATTGCTCTCTCTCTCTTTGTTTCCTTCCACACAAGCAGGCGAAGGCTGCGATGGCGGCACTCAGTTTGCTTTGGTCAGGGCACAAGCAAGCAGTCTATTCATCGCTCTCTGCCTTTCTCCCTGTCTGCCTCTCTCCCTCTCTTCCACTCTCTCTTTTTTGTCTGTCGGTTGCTCTCTCTCTCTCTCCCGCTCTCCCTCTCGCCCGAGCTTCGTTGTTCACTCTCTACATGGCCTGCCTCAAGATGTATCGTGGCCTGCCACACTAAGTTCATTGTGGCCTGTCACTCTCCATTTAATCCTGTGACCCCTGCACTCGATGACCAATACCCAAACAGCCAAAGGTTAACGCTTTACCTTAAGTATCTTTTTTTTTTCGTTTGGCAAGTACTGCTTATAAGCCAACAGGCATCCCCTCGTCTGGATCGAATCAAAAAAAATCTTGGCAGCACTCGACGAATAAAATAAAGAATACAAGCGGCTTTGTATTCGCGGCATGCGCTCCGTGTCAATTTCTGCGGTGGAGCCTGCGGTCTTCTCGTCCTATTCTTCCCCTGCTGCAGGAGGGAATGACTGGGACAGCGGGCATTCATTTTTCTCGGTCGCTCCATAACCCTGTTAAAAACCACATGGGCGTCAGACCCCCAACCCCCAGAGCTTACCCCGTCAGTCGAGGGCGTACGTCCCTGCAACCACCTAGCCAGCCAAACCACACCACCGGCCAGCGCAAAACCACCAAGGGGGGGGGAAAAAAAAGTCCACAACGTCCAATGTGTCACACATAGTTGCGGGGGCGGCCTACTTTTGACCTAAAAGCTTGTCCAACACGGGAGGCACAGGGCGTGAGCGTGTCCGAGAAGTTGGACGACGGCTCATATCGGCCACGCTTCCACGATGCAAAGCCCAGTCCCCAACCCCAGCGGGTAAATGTGGAAGACTGGCCCCCATGCCGTCCAAGCAGAAGAAAGTGATTTGGCGCCTGGTGGTTGTGCAGGAGCACCAAGCTCGGCACCAGGGTTTTTTCTCCTCCGTGCCCAAAGGGGATCGGGCAGGGGCCCCTCCACATCGGATACTTTAGTTTCTGCTGTTGTTGTGATGTTGTTGTTGTTGTTGTCCTTGCTGGTGTTTAGTTTGTTCGTCTGTCTATTTCCGGTCACGTTCCAAAACATGTCGGTGAACAAAATATTTATTCTTTACACCACACACTTGTACTCTTTATCTCCCGGATAAACGGGAGCGCGACCGGGATGTACTGTCCTCCCTTTCCCGCGGCATGCACCCGCTCTCCTTTTTTTTTTTTTTTTGGCAGCCCACGCGAGCCAAAAACGAGAGCGCGCCGTCCGTCGCGTGGTCAGCTTTGCTTTCTTTGTTACTAGCTGCTGCCAGGACGGGTCCCATGATCGGACTGGAAGGACTGCTGTGCGAGTCGGTGCGTGGAGAAAGAGCAGGCCAGAGAGAGGGTGCCTGCGTGACCAAGAGAGTCACGCGGGCCAAGAGAAGCAGTGAGGGACAGAGAGAGAGAGAGAGAGAGAAGAGACAGTGGCACACACACACACATACACACAGAAAAGGCTCTGGATCCACCGATGCCACCAGCACTGTTATTGATAAATTCGTAAAAAACGAAAGCGAAAAAAAAAAAAGGCCTTCCACATCATCCAACAATCGAGGCACGACAAATGATGGGGATGGCGACGGCCACGACCGTGAGCGCGGCGACCGCGACCACCACGACGGCGACCGCGACGGCGACAACCGCAAAGCAGAAGCAGCACTACACAAAGCCCACCCTCGTGCGCCGCCGCCAGACCTTCTCCGTCCTCGTATGGATGTTCATGGCCCCCATCGCGGTGCTCCTGTTCTACTGGATCCTCACCACCCGCGCCCTCACGCCCTTTGCCCTCGCGTACCTCATCTTCATCGCCTTTGACACCGCGCCAGAGACCGGCGGCCGCAAGATCGGCTTCGTCCGGAGGCTGCCGCTGTGGTCCTGGTTCAGGGACTTTTTCCCAATGTCGCTCGTCAAGACCTGCCACCTCGATCCGTCTGCAAACTACAGTTGCGTGGCGTCCCATCCCTCCCCTGACAACCTCGCCCCAGCACGTACACTTCCTCCCTTCCTTTCCCCGCTCACTTCCTCGCGCAAAAGATCTTTCGACTCATCGCACCCCCATTTCACCCAGTCTTCCTGTACCACCCCCACGGCATCATCAGCCTCGGAGCCTTCATCAACTTTGGGACGGACGCCAGCCACTTTTCGCGGCTCTTCCCGGGAATCGACCTCCGCCTGCTGACTCTAAACACCAACTTCCGCCTTCCGTTTTTCCGCGAGGTGCTGCTGTCGCTTGGGATCTGCTCGGTGAGCCGGCAGTCGTGCCAGAACGTGCTGAGCAAGGGCCCGGGGAACTCGATCATGATTGTGCCGGGCGGGGCCGCGGAGGCGCTGTACGCTTTTCCGGGGACGCTCGACTTGGTGCTGAAGCGTCGGATGGGGTTTGTCAAGCTCGCACTCAGGCACGGCGCGGCGTTGGTGCCCGTCGTCTCGTTTGGCGAGAACGGTATGGCATGGTGTGGGGAAGTGACTGCCGCGGGCTGTCTTCGTTTTTTTGGCGCCCACTCACACATTGGCCTCCATCCCACACCTGACACACAGACCTCTGGAACCAAGTGCCGAACCCGAAAGGCTCGACGATCCGCACCATCCAAGAAACCTTCCAGCGGTACGCGTCCTTCTCGCCGCCGCTGCTCTTTGGGCGGGGAATCTTTAGCCCGTTCTCGTGGGGTTTTGTGCCGTTCAGGACGCCGGTGGTTTCGGTCGTCGGGAAGCCGATCCCGTGCCAGCGAGTGCCCAACCCGACCGACGAGCAGGTCAGGGACCTGCACCAGCGGTACATGGACGCCGTGAAGGCGCTCTTTGAGGAGCACCAGGACAAGTACGGCGCAAAGGTCAAGAACGGGCTTCGCTTTGTTGAGTGAAAACCCAACAAAAAACAAAAAAAAAAAAAAAAAAAAAAAAACGAAACAAGAACACCACAGCTGCCATATCTGTCGCCCGGTTTACGCGCCGTCTACGCGAAACTCGATGATTAGCAAGAACCCTCTCTCTCTCCCAACCTCAAACCTTTAATCTTTATCCTCCTTTTTTTTTTTTTTTTTTTCTTTTTTTCGCTCGGTTTGATTCTCCTGTCATCTGCTGCGTTGCGTTCCTTCCTCTTTTTTTTCTTACTTTTTCTTCCTTCCTCTCCATTAGCTCGTCTTATGTCTTCCTTTGGTCCTGTTGCCTGCAAACTTTGCTGATCTCATTACGATCATTTTTGATTGCACACCCCCGCTTCAACGCAGAAACAAAAAAAAGATGGATCACTTTCGCTTTATCGCCTTGATCCGCCTTTCAACCCGAACCTCTTATTCTTGCTTTGCTTGGTTATCGCTGCATCGAGCTGACTCTGGCGCAAATACATGTTGGATTAGCGGAGAAACTTACGGAACATGTCGAGAAAATGAAACTTCAAAAGCAGAGCTGTATTCGTATAGTGGTTAGTACGCCTCGTTGTGGCCGAGGAAACGGTGGTTCGATTCCACCATACAGCAGAAGTATATTATGCTGTGATCTGACAAGGCAGCGTTAGGAAGTTACGCGGCGATGCCAACATCCACGTGCATCGTGGATTGTTCTTACCATCGATCTTCCCCACTCTCACAAAGGATTGGCACTTTATCCTGATCATTCTTAATCGTAACCAAACCGCAGCAGCAAACGGCGTAACTGTAACTGAAACACAACCGCAAATACAAAAAGAAAAAAAAAGCTTTATCTGCAGAACAGCTCAACCGTTAACCGAGCCAATTTGTTAATCTTATGGTAACTATATTCTAACCGCACACTGGTTAAGAAATTTTTCCTTGTTCCGAACCACGATAAGCTCAGATTGCGGATATAGCCGAGAACTCTCACGGGTCTAGATCTTTCACGATGGGGGCCCGCTTTCCCACGACCCTCCTAATGGCAGTACTTTTTTTTAAACACAATTTAAGACTGGACGGCGCAAACCACCAAAATGATTGCTTGGACCAAACCGGCCCCAGTCGGAATTTTTTTTTTTTTTATTGCGCACTCATTCCAACACGTTTGGATAGTTGCACGCCCTGGTGGGGCTCCAGCAACGGTACCCGTCTGATAGAACATGCACTTGATTCGATAATCCGGAACGGCGTTGCTGCTCCGCTTTGAAAAGAAAAAAAAGTTCTTTTAAGGAGCCCTCTTTTCTTTTGTTTTTTTCTCCTTTTTTTTTTTTTTTTTTTTTTTTGGCGACTTTCAATTTCGTCGGGGGCTGAGAGGGATTTCAGTGGGTGTTGAAAGTAGACACGCGGGGCAACCCCACCGCACCGTATCCTCAGCCGCGGCCGATCCGTACCACCTTTTGCCGGGGTCGTCGGGAGAGGTTGAGGGGGAGGAGATGGGCTATGATACCGGAGAGTTGAAACGGTGAAAGTACGGGGATTCTTGTTGGTCGTAAGCGGGGGAGAGAGGGGAATGGAGCGTGGGGCAAACAAACGGGAGGGGAAGATCAACACCGGGGATAACGCAACGGCCAGTGTTCCATTCCTGATTTCCTAATCCACTTTCTGAAACGCCTTGTTTTTTTTTTCTCACCAATCCGAGCAAAGCTCAAAAAAAAAAAAAAAAAAAAAAAAAAAAAAAATCCACTGTCCAACATTGGGCGAAATGCACTGTATATTGAAACTAAACGGGCAACGCAAGCGACAGAAGCAAAAAAAAAATACCAAGTATAATCGGGAAAGGGGGGGGGAAGCGCTATCGACACAGGAGAGTAGTTGAAAAAGGAAAGCGAGATGGTGAGTGGTTGGAGGTTGGGTGCATTGTAAAGGATGGTGAACACAGGCAGGGGGCAAGATAGATTTCTTCACTCGTCGCTGCCGTCCGCCTCTTCGACGTCGAAAGCGTCGTCCTCGTCAACGGCGTCGTCCTCGTCGAACGCATCGTCCTCGTCCAAGGCGTCGCCGCCGTCGGCAAACACCTCGTCGTCCTCGAACAAGTCGTCGTCGCCAAGCACGTCGTCGTCGTCAAACAAGTCGTCCTCTTCGACCAGGCCTTGCTGGCCGCCGCTGTCGTCGCCGCCGCCGTTGTCTGTCGCGCGAAGGGAGTGAGCGTGGCGAGTTGAGTGAGTGGTCAAAAAAAAAAAAAAAAAAAACTCTAAAAACAAACCTTGGCCGCCGCGCTGCCGCCATCCACGACCGCCCCCGCCGCCTCCACCATAGCGACGCGGACCGCCGCCACCGCCGCCGCCGCCGCCGTAGCCGCGACCTGTTTTTTTTTGTGCGGTGGTGGGCAGTGGGTTGGAGGTAAGGGAGCAAAGAGGTGGGGACGGGTTAGTGTTTGGATGCAAAAAAAAAAGGATGGTGGGGCGAGGTGAAAAGTGGAGGAAGTAGTGGGAAGGGGTTCCTTGAAGCAAGGCGACATTTACCACGACGCTGCAGGGCGAGGCCGTGCTGCGAGTTAGGGACGGGAGCGGCGACGGAGAGGGCTGCGGTGGCCGCGAGCAGGGAGGAGAGGAGGAGGAGGGTGGCGGAGAGCCGCATCTTGGGGGCGTCAGTGAGGTGGGTTTGAGGAGGCTGAGCGAGGTGGGTTTTTGGAGGGACGGGCGGGCGGGCGGGCGGTTGTGAGTTGCTTTTTTTTTCTTCTTGTTTTGTTTGTGTGTTGTGGAGGGGAGGGGGGTTTTGGTTTTGTGCCAAGAACAAAGGCTCTCCTTATTTATATAATTTTGGGAGAGAGAGAGAGAGAGAGAGAGAGGGCGTGTTCTTCTCTCTGTCTGTCACTCTCTCTCTCTCTCTCTCTCTCTCTCTCTCTCTCTCTCTCTCTCTTGCCCTGTCTGCCTGCAGCAGGGACTGATTCTTTTCTCCTCTTCCATACGGTCTGTCTTCCTCGCAGGTCTTGGCGTTCGGCGCACGCAATTATCACTTTTTCTTTTTTTTTTTTTTTGACCTGTTTATTATTTATTTATTTATTTATGTGCATGGTGGTGGTGGGCAGTTGAGAAAGAAGAAGAGAGAGGACAAAGAAAGGGACAGAGACAACTGGCTGCAGTAGTGGGGGCAGCAAGGTGTCTATATCTCCAGCGTAAACAAATACTGAGAGACACATCCGCAAGAAGGTCAGAGTCACAGTCGAAAGTGAAGTGTCTCTTTGTTTACCTACCTCGCAGGTGTTTCATGTTTCACATCCCCGCTCTCTCACTCATGGTCCTCCCCGACAAAAAAAAAAAAAAAAAGAAAAAAAGAAAAAGAAGAATAGGAACAAGAGTCGACCGACCAATCATGCAATAACACAAGTTCTCAACCACACCCTCACGGATGGACTCCTAGTAGCCCATGCTACACCGTACAACAACGATCCGTCGTCCTTCGACATGACATCCCGGCAACCCTTTCCTCACAAACAGTCAAGGATGTGGATGGGATCCACCCTCTCCGTCACCCCCACCCCCTCCCATAATCCTCGAAATATAAGGGGGGGGGGTATGTACCTCCCAACTATTATTTGTGAAATAAACCTTAAAACTAAGCGGGGAGATGGGAGATAAGGTATAGACGGTCGCAAGCTGGGGGGGAACGGAAGAGATCTGGGAACGGGGGAAGTACCGAATAAAAGAATGAAACACGGGAGAAGGGGATGAAACCGGCCCCCTCACACCCCGATTCCACTGCCCTCTTGCTCCTCCACCTCCTCCTCCTCCCAATCTCCCCGACGCCGCTTCCGCCGCGCGTACCCGTCGTCGTCACCGTCGTCGTCGTCGTCGTCGTCGTCGGGGCCGCGCCAACGTTTGCCCACGCCGCCGCCGCGGGAGCCCGGCGCGGACGCCGCGGGCGACGCGGCGGTGGCGGGCGGCGACGGTGGCGCGTCGCCGTGTTGGTCGCCATCTTCGCCGTCGTCGTCTTCTTCGTCGTCATCGGCGTCACTGTCGTCGCCGTCGCGCCGCCGCCGCACCCCACCAGGCTTCCCCGCGTGCGGCAGCGGCAGCGGCCGGACGCCTACCCCGACCTCCGCCCCCAGCCTCGCCGCCGCCGCCGCCGCGGCCGTGGCAGCCGCGGACGTGACAGCGCGCCTGACGACGACGGCGCAGAACCTGCGAAAGGCGCCGCCGACGGCGGGGTCGACAGCGAGGGAGAATCCGAGGAGGCGGAGGAGGGTCCATTCTGCGTGGGCGACGTGCCGCGGGGAGAGCTGCCGCTGGGCGATGGCGGCCCAGGCGGCGGGCGGGTGCGGCCGGTCATCGAGGTACTTTGTGGCGAGGGAGAGGGCGGCAAGGAACGCGGTCGCCGGCGTCAGGTGGGGGTGCTCGTTTGTAGTGGAGAGGGTTGTGGCGGCGGCGGCGGCGGGGAGGCGCGAGGGTTGCGGCGGAGAGCTGGGGAAGGAGGAGGAGGAGGAGGAGGAGGAAGAGGAGGAGGTGGGGCGTTGCGGGGGCGGGGTAGGCAGGGTGCTGCGGCCATCCTCGTCGTCGTCGTTGTCGTTGTCGTTGGGGTAGGTGTTTTTTGCCTTTGTGGTGGTGGTGTTCGCGGGGTTGTTGTTGTGGGTGGCGGCGACGAGCTGGGTCTGCAGGCGGACGAGGTAGAAGAGGGCTAGCTGGAGCGGGTAGAAGCTGCAGCGGGAGCGGAGGAGCAGGCCGTGTATCAAGTCGTGCAGATCGCGCCTGGAGAGCTGCGGCGGCGGCGGCGGTGGTGGATCGGGCGCGGCCGCCCGTTCGGGAAGGGAAGGATGGCTGTGGCGTCGGCAAGGGGACGCCGGATCGTGACCGGCGGACGGTGAAGCACCGGTGGTGGTGCAGGTGGACGTGGATGTGGATGTTGCGGGGCGACCCTAAGGCCAAGGAGATCGTGGACACGGTCGAGGTGGCAATGACGGCGGAAAGATCTGGAAGGCGGAGAAAAAAAAAAAAAAGGGCGGGACAAGCATGTTGGCCGATCATTCACCCATTCACAGGGCACACGCACACGCCGCACTCAACGGACAGAGAAACGGAGAGAGGGGAAAGGTAGGACAGGGAAGAACAGCGACGGCGGCGGCGGCGGCGGCGGCGGGCGGGAAGGGTTGCAGTGTTGGAGTCTGTCGGGTATAGCTTTTGTACGTGTGTGTGTGTGTATGTGTATGCGCCCAACACTACTAGCTACTAACGGACGAGGGCGTGCAGCAGCGCGTCGGTAGCAGCGGCGAGCGAGCGGTCATGATCATCGTCGTGGTTGTCGTGGTGGCGGTCGGCGGCTGTTCTCGGTCTCTGTATTGGTCTCGGTCTCCGTCTCGGCGGCGCGGGCGGGGGCGGGAGGAGCAGGAGGGTGGCGGCGGCGGCCGAGTCGCTGTTGCCGGTATGGCTGTGAAGCAGGAGCAACAGGTTCTGCAACTGCTGCTGGAGCAGCTCGGTCATGGCGCGGGCAAGGGCGCGTGTGCTGGGTGTACGTTTCGGTTGATCACTTGTTGTGGTTCTCTTTATTCTTCTTCTTCTTCTTCTTCTTCTTCAACGTTCTTCTTCTCTCCGCAAGCCTCCTGCTATGAGAAGGATCACAGAGAAAGGCAGAGA